TATATGTATATATATGTATATGTATATATATGTATATGTATATATGTATATGTATATATATGTATATGTATATATATGTATATGTATATATGTATATGTATATGTATATATATGTATATGTATATATGTATATGTATATGTATATATGTATATGTATATATATATATGTATATGTATATGTATATGTATGTATATGTATATGTATGTATATGTATATATATGTATATGTATATATATGTATATGTATATATATGTATATGTATATATATATATATATGTGTATGTATATATATATATATATATATATATATATATATATGTATGTATATATACACTTTATATATAAGTCGTTTTAAACCCTTCTCACACTCTTGCAGTATTCTAAACTGTTTCTGAACATTCTAAAAGAGCACAGAATGTCATGATTTCCCTCTCCTTTCCTCCTCTGCCCTTTGCTGCCTGCAAGTGCTCTTGGCCACGCCCACTTCTCAGCTCTGCACACAGAGCAGCTGATCAGCTGCAGCAGGAAGTTTTATCCTGCAGTAAGGGCTGCACATGGGGGCCGAGATGGTTTAGAGGCAGGGCAGCCGGCTTGGGACCCGAAAGTCCCAGGTTCGATCCCCAGTCACTGCATATCACGTGGTGTCTCTGGGCAGCACACCTCATCCCCAAAATGCCCCCCGGGTGCTTTCAATAGCTGCCCACTGCACCACCTGGTGGTGGATGGGTTAAATGCAGAGACTAATTTTGCCATTGTATGGAAACATACAGTGCTGACATTGTGACGACATTATTATTATTATTATTACAAAGGAGCAGGAGGAAGCTTTTTCTGCAGCTCTGGGCTGCACAAATGTGAAACAGGTGCTAAATATTTTTAAAATAAATTATTTTAAATAAAAATTCCATGCCATTTGTGTGGCTCATCCATCAATCAGCCAGTTGTGTGTCATGTCCAGTCTTGTTTTGACAAACTGCGATAGAGCGAGTCCACGATAAACAAATCGCAAATTAGCGAGGTACTACTTTATTAACACCAAAGTTCATTGTTGAATACGTTGTATTAAACAGCAGCCTGAACATGAGTCTGTAGTGATCAGATGGGTATGAATATAGCAGCATAAAGGTAAGAGATCAGCAGTATGGATAATCAGCAGCACAGATAAAGTGACATATCACCAATTAAAGTGGCATTACAGTGGTTTTTCTAGTTAGGGATTCATGAGTCTAACAGCTTCAGGGTAGAAGCTGTTCCTCAGTCTAGTGGTTCTACACTTAATGCTTGGCTGCCTTCTTAAAAAGTAGCTGTTGAGTATGTGCTTTGTGTGTCACTGATGGATACATTTGGGCTCCTTGTTTTGGGAGCCAGTGCTCCGTTCTGTATCGAAGCACACAAGACTCTTTGTGTCTGTTGAGATGGCCTCTCCTGGCCTGTACAATGCCTGCGAGACGTGGCTGTTTTCCACACTCTGTCAGCCCAGCCCACCATAGCTCCTGCTTTCACTCAGTCCTCTCAAGTTATTCTTCTGGGGAATGTTTCAAAGGCAGCCCCCATCCCCACCCAAGTTCAGCCTAAATGTATCATTTTCCTGCGTTTCCTCGAATTATTTCTCATTTTCCAGTTTGAAGCTGTTTTCTTTCTTAACCTACCGTTCCCCTGTCATTCAACAGCTTTTTTTTTTTTTTTCTTTCTTTTTTAAACAGCCCCCACGGGTTTTTCCCTTGGCCTGGCTCCAGGACAGTTGCTAAGTAAATCACTCAGTCAGTCAGCAAGGCTTGTAAGAGAGCTAAAGAATTCCAACAAATCGCGAGCCAATCATTCCTCTACTTCCTCTGACTCTCCTGCAGCGATGCCGCCACTCGTCTTATGCCTATATATATATATATATATATATATATATATATATAAGTTGAAAAGGTAGATAAAGTTGAATAGAATTAAATAATTTAAAAAGTGTGTTCTTCCATGTGTGTTGTCGATCTCTCTGTTTTCTCAAGTCTTTACTATTAAAGGAAAAATCAACCGAGTATTCAGTCTTCAAAAGAACTGGTGCCTCATTAGACTTTATTCGTGCCGATTGTTTATTTTATTTTTATTTATTTTTTATTATTATTTTTATCCAAAACTCGTTTTGCCTTCCTAAAAATTAATTAGCAGCTAAGCTAATTTCTCCATGTTGTGCCTGATATAATTGCTGTATAAAATGAGAAAAGCTCAGGGGTCCTGTTTTTTAAACCGAATCAGAACTTTTGCTGTGTTCCCTCCTACTTGGTTCTACCAGCTGTAGCTCCCCTTTCCCTGGTCTGGACCGTGGTTGGAACATGTGAGATTGTTTTAAGATCTTTTGGGGCAATCCCATAACGGTTAAAATGGTGATTTTTTTTTTTTTTTTTTTTGTGGGGGCGGAGTTGAAACCAGATTAAACTCTGAACTTTTCCGCAGGTGGTGATGGCCCCACACGAACCACCAGTGGTGTTTGTGGATAACTACATCAAACTTCTGGTTGATGGCAATCCAGAGACCTTCCAGAAGATACTGGATATGAAGGTCAGTACGTTTCTTTGCCTTTCCTGCAGGGAGCTGGATAATAAACATAATCCCACTAAAATTAACAGCTGTGTAATCTTCTACCTTGATGTTTGTTTGAAACATAAAGTTGATGCATTGCAGTGAAAGCCAGGCTAGACGTTTCCTTCTGATTACGGTCTTTATGCTAAGCTGACGATCCCTGATTCCACCGTGAACATTTGAGCAAGTGGTTTTTGAAAAGAAACAATTTCAAGACGTCTACCAGCACCAATTTGTCTTTGCTTTCCTTTCATCTATTCAGAACTGGTATTGTATTGAATTAAAGGTCCAGCCCCAGTCACCATGTTGTTTTTACACTGTGTTGATGTGCAGGGTCTGAAACGCAGTGAACAAAGCAGCATGTTGGACCTCTTCAGACAAAGATTACCCACCCCACCCTCGGGTGCTGACGGTGGGCCCACTCTGTCCTTCAGCACCCCAACCCCTGAGCAGGAGTCCTCTCGTATCCGAAAACTGGAGAAACTCATCAAGAAGAGACTGTGATTGGACTCAGATTTCCGTCTCAGCAGTTGCTGATGTTGCCTTCAGGTTGCTGCATCTATTTATGTCAAAGACTCCATTTTGCTTCAGTCAGTTACACTGAAGAATTCCAGAGCGGCAAAAGGTGACTGAATTGTTCTTACTGCTCGTAACTTGAAGCCCAGCAGAGGCAGGGCTGTGAAGAAACTTCCCCAACGGTTCGTTAATGTTGTACATATGTAACTGTAATGTCCCATTGTGTTTTGTGTGACACTAAAGTCTGAGCTCTCAGAAGATCTAATATAGTCTTGTTAATTTAATGCTGCTCGGAGAGTCTCCGCTGCTCTTTAACATATCTAATCCTTGATGATTAATTCAAAAAGTTACTGTTTATGAATAAAACATTTAGAAAATGGTGCATCTTTGAACTAGTTTTCTTAAAGCGATGGTGAGATTATTTGAAGTGGGTTTCTGTGGTAAGTTTGTGAACAGTTACTTTACCTTTACCGGTTTAGAAAACGGGGGTTCTGACTAGCACTCACATTTAAAAAAAATTCATAGTTCTTGCAAATGCTATTTTATAAACCTTTACATTACTGTCAGTTTCTCATTATATGGTTACAGTGTTCCTCAGTTTTCAAACTGAGGACTCTGGGTCATTTTGACCCAAAGTTATCAATCGTCTCAGACTAGCAGTGTGTTGACATCACTGTATGTTCCCATACAATGATCACATCGATGATCGGATCTTAGGCATTTTAGGTGCTGTGCTAAAATAATCTGAAATACCAGTAGATTGACTGCACTTTCAGACAAATTATGCTCTTGTAGTGATAACTTTTTTCTTCTAATTACACATGAACATGTCTTATATTTTCATATTTAATAATACTTTAGAAAATCTATTCATATCTGTACCTAAAGGGCAACTTTCTGTTATAGTTTGACAAAAACTGTCCTCACAAGTTTTCCAGCTTTGCCAGGTGCTGTGGGTCTGAAGTATGGCAGCCTCTCAGGAGAGCAGCTTCGTCTGTTCACAGCTGGATTTACTGTGTGAACATGTATCAAGCATGCACTCTATTGTGAACCAGTTTTCTTCTGTACGTTTTTCAGCATCTTTCTCCTTCCACAATTTTTGTGCTATTTCAACAAATCATAAATCAAAACGTTCAGCTCGTTCAGGAGAAGGGTGCTATGACTTTTGGTATTGGTGCAACTTTACCTTTTTTAAATATTTAGCCTTTTTTGCCACTTTTTTTTTCCTCGTAAAAAATGAATTGAGCTCATTTCACATCCTTCAAATCTTTATATCTGTTTACAACCTTTTACTGCTCCTTTCACATTTTGTTCTGCTTCAGCTTCTTTGTGCAAATTTAAACTTTTCAAGCTAATTTCAGCTGTTTTGTGCTCCTTTTAGATTCTTTCTGCTAACTACAAGATTTTTGTGCTTCTTCTAACTTCTTTCTTCTAATTTCAGCTTGTTGTGCTCCTTTCAGCTTATTTACTCAAGTTTCAGCTTTTTCTGCTATTTCAGCTACTATTTAGCAGTTTTACGCTAATTTTAGCTTATTTGGCTAATTCCACTTTTTTTTTTTTGCACTCATTTCATCATTTTTCAGCCTAATTCAACAAAAATGTGCACTCCACTTCCTTCTGGTAATTTAAGCTTCTTTGTGATTTTTTTTTGTGCTACTTTTCAGCAGTTTTTTTTTTTTTCTTATTTCAGCCTTTTTTCAAATAATTTCCACTTTTTTATGCTCATTTTTGCTTCTTTCAGCAAACACGTTCTTTCTGCTTTCTTCTGCTAATTTAAGCTTGTTCTACCTTTTCAGCTACTTTTTGTTACATTTTTAGCTGATTTCAGCTGTTTTCAGATAAATTCAAGTTTTTCGTGGTATTTTCTGCTACTTTCAGCCTAATTGACTTATTTTTGATAATTTCAGCTTGTTCTACCTTTTCAGCTGCTTATTAGTTGCATTTTTAGCTAATTATAGCCGTTTTCAGATAAAGTTTTTTGTGGTAATTTCTGCTACTTTCAGCCTAATTAACTTCTTTCTGCTAATTTCAGCTTGTTGTGCGCCTTTCAGCTTTGTTCTGCTAATTTCATCTTTTTCTACTCAGCTATACTATTTAGCTGTTTTTGTGCTAAATTTAGCCTTTTCATGTAATTCAACATTTTTTAGCTCATTTCAGCTCCTTCCACTTCCCTCTGGTAGTTTAGGGTTCTTTCAGCCTTTTCAGGTACTTTTCAGTCATTTTTTGCCAAATTCAGCTTTTTTTTTTTTTAGCTATTTTCCTAATTTTTGTGCTAATTTCTACTTATTTAAACCTAATCAGCAAATATGCGTTCTTTCTGCTTCTGCTAACTTTGGCTTGTTCTTACATTTCAGCTGTTTTTCACCAAGTTCTTCAGCAATAAGCATTCACACTGCGTTTTTGCAGGAAATATAATTTCTCTATTTATTGTGATTTCAGTGTCTCATTTTCCAAGGCCCTGTGGATCAAATAAAAGCCATTATTAGTGCATTATTATTATTATTAGTTTATTAGTACAACAAGTGTGCCATGAAGGCCCAAATGTACAGGGCGACACCTTTACAAACATCTCCACACATGTCCTCTCTGTGCTCAGTCCAAAGGGTGTGTGTTGGTTTACTTGTTGGAACAATGGCAGGAAAAACGTAGCAGGAGTTCAATTTGAAAGAAGTTTCTGGAAAAGTTCCAGCTGCCAATTAGCTGCAACCAATCAGCAGCCGGTGAACTTCCTGGAGGAGTGTCCTGTCCGCTGTTGGAGGCTGCAGAGAGGGGGAGAAGGTTTGTAGAGGGGCTCACTCTTTAGCTGCCTGTACGTGGCTTGAGTTTGAAAGTTTGAACTTGTGAACAGCTGAGTTTCCACCCCCAGGTTGATTATATTTCCAGCCCCACGAGGAACTTCACACGAACGGAAGTGCGCTCCGCTTTCAAAAGTCGCTGGACTTTTGCAACTTCTTTTTTTTTTTGGCAAGAAATGGTAGGTAGTTTGAACTTGCCAAATGTTTGCGAAGGAGACCCTCTGGGTATGAGCTGCAGCAGCAGGGCTGAGAGGGGACTAGACAGCCCGGACTCCGGGCTCCCTCCGAGCCCCAGCGCCTGGCTGCAGCCCGCCAGCTCCGACAAGACCGGCGGGGTGAGCCCGGTGTCCGAGGACGAGGGAAGCGGCTCCATGGTGAGTGCTCTTCTCTTTACTGTTCATGTACACGAGGCTGGTTTATAACACTTAAAGAACAACTATATATTTCCACCACAGAACTGTTGCACCTTTATCTGATCAGGATGCTCAAAGCGCTTCACCCATTCATACAGCCTCTATTTAAGAACGTGCTTTAGATCACATTCATACACAGGAGGTAGTCTTGCCCATTTCAGCATGTGACTGCTGGTGGATTCGAACTACCAACTCTTGCATTGGAGGACTGCTCTAGCCACTCAGCCACCCCTGTGAGCTACAAGTGATCTGGGTCAATCCCATTCAAAGTTAATGCAGTGCAAAAGTTTTAAACCACCACTGTGTTTATGATCCTTCCAAGGACCCAGCCAGGCTTTATGAGTGATCTTGAGCAGACTTCAGATATTTAAAGGTTTTCAATGTTTTCTAGGGATGCACGATATTATCGGCATGGTATCGGTATCGGTCGATATAATCGTTAAAGTTAAATGTCGGACTTCGGCCATTCCGTCAAAATAACACACCAATTTTGTATGACAACCCAGTGACATGATGCTGCAGCGCCAGCACAACGTGATGACGTCACGTGCGCCTACCTGATCTGATCACGGCGGAGAGGAAAACTCGAAACGTCGGCGGTGTAGAAGTTGTTTTTTTTCTGTTGAGGATGTTGGATTCCAAAGATTTTTGGACTACGTTGAGCCTCGCTACATCGTCCCCAGTCTGAGATTTTTTCCGATGCAACGTTACACGAGTTACAAGCCGTCATTTCTGACCTCATTGAGAAGTTAGTAGACAATAGCACTTGGGTGAGTTTTACCACAGAGATTTGGACGTCGTGTTGGCCCCGTTAGCATGATTAGTTTTACGGCACAACGGATCGACATAAACTTTGAACTTAAAAAGTCTGTCCTTCATGCACAAGAGGGCAGAGGATCCCTCACTGCAGCTAGAAACCTGGAACAAGCCTCCACAAGTGAGACAGCATCACAGGTGACTAATGCTAATAACATTTAACACTTTTCATTTAATATAAGTTAAAGTGCTATGCATATCATATGGCTGTTACTGAATATATGACACCAGCTTTTACAGCCGTTACACAATTTTTGTAGCAAATAAGCCCAAATAAGAGGAATATGTTCTGACAAAGGAACATATATAAAATATCGGTATTGGTTATCGGCCAAGTAAGTTTTAACATATCGGATATCGGCCAAAAATCCAATATTGTGCATCCCTAATGCTTTCCTTTGGATTCTGATGGATTTTTCACTTGTTTTGTGACAGCATATTTGTGATGTGTCCCTAAAAGTTGAGGAAAGTGGACACAACAAGTGTCAGACCTTTTAAAAAAAGCAACTTTTCTACATCCGTTTAAACAAGACCAATCCTCAGTTGATGCTGTTTGAAGAGGTGAAATCTCCTTGTTGTGATCGTTTGTCTCAAACTGCTTGTAGCAAAAAGACTAAATATCCAACAAATTGCTAAATTGTCAGTGTCGACGCAAAACTGGTTCATCCCTGCGTATAGAGGGTTTTAATCAGAAGGAATGTGTTTGCAAAATATTTCACAAACGACCAAACCGATTTTAATGAAACTCCCAAAGTCCTCATCGGATGTACATCATGAACCTCATGAGTCACTCTGATTGTAAATTGTGTATAAGGCATACAATGATATAGATATTGAGCTTATATTTGGTGTGGTAGTAGCCGAGGGTTCTCAACAAAACCTACCCTGAGCGCTGCAACATATTTGTTTAAAACAGTCTGAATATCTTGGAGGAGTGTTTGTTTCATTACACCTCATAGATGAGATTTAAGTGGCTTAAACTTTCTTTGAAAATGGTCGGGACTGAACTGAAGAAAAGTGAAAATGCTGCCAAAGTGTTAAGAAAATGTTTAAGCTCCAAAAAAAAAATCCGACAAATTAATCGAGGCTATTCTAAATGATCACAAGGAACTCTGTCTGGCTCCTTGGAAGAAAAATATCTCAATAAAAGAGCATATTGAGAGCTATGCACAGTACTTGGATTGTTTTTGTATTTCAGGTTTCAGTCCTACCAGCTGGAAGTTTACCACACCTACAGCCACTGTCCTTCGGAGAAGGCATAGCTCTCGATCCATTACCATCCAAGGAACTGAGGTGAGTTCCCACCATCACAGACATCTACACCTCCAGATGCAGGAAGAGGGCCACCTGCATCATGAAGGACCCCACTCACCCAGCACACACACACTGTTTTGCCCCGTTGCCCTCAGGAAGGAGGTTGAGGAGCATTAAGTGTAAAACCGCTACGCTGAGGAACAGCTTCTACCCTGAGGCTGTTTGACTCATGGATCTCTAACCAGAATAATCACTGTGAAAAATCACATCATCTGTTTCTACGTATTGCTTTTATGCTACTAGTGCTTCGTGTGTTTGTAGTTGACGTGTTTCTTAGTTCATATCTTAGATCTTATAACTGTTTTTCTTGTACATTTTAATGTTTTGTTGGATGTAACTGGGACCCTGTGTACACTTTCGTTCCACCACATGTACCACATGTGGTGTGAACAACAAATAAAAAAAAAAAACTTGAATCCTTGAGTTGAACATAATGTAAAGAGGAAAGTCAAGTTTGGGTGTGTTCCGCTCACAAACGCTCTCTCGCTTGCAGATACACGTCGTTCGTGAACTATGACTCGGATCGTCACTTCATCCAGAACGTGGACCTGCAGCCGTTGGGCCGGGGCCTCCAGCGCTGCAGGCAGACCGTCGTGGCCGTCCCCCACAGCACCTGGCGTCGCTACAAGACTCAGCTGGAGTTTGAGCCACGCCTCCGCCCCCACAGCTTCAAGAGCACCGCCATCATCTACCCCAAGAGAACCAGCGAAGTCTACATGACGGAGCTGAGCTACGACTCCCGCCGGCTGCGCAGGCGCTTCCTGTCGAGCGTGGAGCTGGAGGTGGTCGGCAGCAGGAGGCTGCCTCAGTGAGAGGGGGGGGTCGCTTCCACAGTCACTGCACTGATGCCCCTCTTAGGCTGCACTGAAGCCGACTCCGGCTCGCCTGTCTTCTTTTCCTTCAAATGTTTCCGTTTTTCCTCTCCAGATGCTTCAGCAGCATCTGTAGAATCGGTAATGCTTCTTCTAACCCCCCCGTTTGTTTAGAGTCCACCTAAGTGCTTGTCTCTGAACTGAAGCAGCTCATCACAAATGAACGAGCTGTCCACCTTCAGCCTCATTAAAACGCTTCACAAACTTTCCTTTTCATCCCACCCTCTGTTGCTGTAGCCATCCTCTTCTTCAACAGTGGACTGGAGGAGAAGTGTGTGGATTCTTTTTAATTCAAAAGGCTAAAGGATCTTTTTTTGAGAGGTTTGTGCTTTTAAAGCTTTAAATGGAGGCTTGACCTGCTGTCTTAAGTTATGTAGCTTCCATCTCAGGCTGTGGACAGAAGGACGCTGTCACTGCTGATAAGATGGAGACTGGATAGGAATTCTATGTATTTATGTCCCGTTGAAAGGAACCATTTTTATGATTATTTTCCTAAATGTTTTTATCCAAAGCTTAAGATTTTAAGGGCATTTTTTTTAAATAAGGTTTAAAATTTCCATCTTTGAGTCTGATAGCAGTTTGTCTATTGGAATTTGCTCTAAGATGCAAACCCTGTAGCTGACTTAATGCAGGTTGTCTTATTTTGTTTTAGGTCTGAGAACTAATAACTACAACTTTAGCTTGCGTGTTAATATGTATCGGTTTGGAAAGGCTAAAATGTATCCACACTGTGCAAAGGATATGTTGAAAGTACTTGTGTGCGTTTTAATTACAGGATATTGTGTGCAGCATAAACAGTCAAAGCTCTTCTCCTTTTCTCAAGCCTTTGTTTTCCACCTCAAAGTTGGTACTTTGCAATGGTGGAAATGTTATTTTTACTGTGTAAGCTTCGATCAAGCTGGTTGTTCTAGCATGAAGATTTTAGAGTTTGCTGTTTACTGATGTGGCTCCTTCACTGGCTTACTTCCACTGCTACACATTTTGTGACTTGGACTAAAATTATATTTATTCTTTTTTCTTTAAGTCTGAGACTTCACATGCTGTTTCACAGTGGTAAAATTTTCTAAGATGGCCTTAATGCCTTTCTATAACTGTTTTTTTTTGTCTTGGATACTAAACACCTATTTTGTGCCAGTTTGAAATAAAATTCACTTTTTCAATACCTTTTGACTTTGTCCCTTTTTTATATATTAGAAGCTTTTTTGTCCAAATACCTAAATATATGTGAGGGGTGGGGAAATTAAGATAATTTACCTGCATACGAAAGTAACAGCGGTTAATGCACCAAAGGATCTTGACTAATTTTTGATGTCCGCGTCTTCCATCTCAGATTATATAAGATTAGTAACGCTGCATTAATGCTGAGGGTATTTAATATTTAGCTAGTCAAGTAGAAAACACATTTACATAGATGACAATCTGGTTTCTGTTGCATGATTTGTTTTGAATTGTACCTTTAACAATTATTTCCACTTGTGCAACGTGTGCGTCCTCTTGTGGTGACAGAATGAGAGTACAACTATTACAATTCACTGGCTTATGTACTGAGTATACAGTACAACAAATAATTACGTTGATTTAATAACTATTACATTAATAAAAGGAATATAGATACAAAAGCTGCATTTCATATTAAGAGACTTGCATTTGGCTTTTAAGAATGTAAATATTTGACTGTCAGCCATAATTACTTAAAGAAGCCACCTTTTTAGCATATTTTTAATAATGAATCATTTATAGTTTTTTACGTACGTAACCGTGATTTATTAAACTATCTGAAAGAGCTGAATGTACTTTTTCCGACTGACCCTGAAGCTATCATGACGTAAGCGGATCTTCGAACAGCCGTTTAGTTATTTTTAATAAATAAAACTGTTACAACTAAATATAAATATATAAGGAGGTGGATATGTTTGATAAAGTATAAAAATAATAATAATTAAAGTTTAAGTTGTGTGACGCAGCGTGTCAGGCCACGCTCTTCCGTCGCGTGCGCGGAAGCAGTATTTTTATAGCCTGATTGGCGGTGATGCAGCTACTGTCGTCTTCCTATCTGTTGTTTTCTATTTCTGCTGCATGTCGAGGTTTACTGAAGTCTAAAACCTACATAAATATGTCAAAGCACGGAACTCGCCGCTTACAGAAAGCCCTCTCCTGAATATCGGGACGGTTAGCTTGAGGCTAACAGGAGTTGTGGGAAGAATGAGCGCTAGCATCATGGACGTGTTTGAAAAGGGGAAAGTGGTGAAAATTTGTGCCCCGATGGTTCGCTATTCAAAGTAAGTGTAATCCGAGATATTTCTATATAACTAAAGAAGCCTGGGCTTTGATTATTAATGCTGTGCATAACCTCGGTTAACGCCTTATTTTGCGTATGTGTTTTATACATCTTTGTTTATACCCGGTAGGTTGGCGTTTAGGACTTTAGTTCGGAAGTACAGCTGTGATGTCTGCTTCACCCCTATGATCATTGCAGCTGACTTCATGCGATCTGTCAAAGCCAGAGACAGTGAATTTACCACCAATGAAGGTGAGTACATCTCAATGCAGCTTTAATATTTTGCCCCTAGGTCCTTATGCACTTTAATAAAAAGGTTTATGTTATTGCACTGCCACATTCTTATGGAAAATGAGAGTATGAGTGAAAGTGTTTGTTAACAGGTGATCGACCCCTGATTGTGCAGTTTGCTGCCCATGATGCCCAGACTCTGGCTGATGCAGCCTGTGTGGTGGCACCTTTCTCAGACGGGGTTGACCTCAATTGTGGCTGTCCTCAAAGGTGCTGCTACGTCCTAATGTTTTAGTGTGCTGTCCTCGTTTTATCTCTGTTGCTTCATCGGATTGATTTGATGTGGTTTCAGGTGGGCTATGTCAGAAGGGTATGGTGCATGTCTCATTAATAAACCCGAACTTGTTAAAGACATGGTGAGACGTGTCAGAAACCAAGTGGAGAATCCAAACTACACAGCCTCCATCAAGATCAGGTAAAAGACTTGAACCATTTTCCTTGAAGGATTGCACATCACCCTCTACCTTTCACTTCACAGCTTCAAGCCAAAATAATTATAAAGTTTTGTTAAGAACTGCAGCAGCGTTTTATTCCAACCTTGAAAAGAACATTATGCACAAGTACACACGATGTCACACTCAATGTGTTGTTTATCACTCTTAGCTGCTACCTCATTAAATTTTAGCTCAATATATGTAAACTTGACTGAGTTGTGTTGGCTAAAGTCAATTAGGTGTAGCAATCATTTTAAATTGGGTTGGCTCCAAAGCTTACCGTAATCAAATTTAAATGTACATATAATAAATATTTCCTGACAGTTTCATTAAAATTTGTCCTTTGATTCATGAGATATTTTGCTAACAGACAGCTCCTTCGCTTTTCGGCAGCAGGTCATAATTAAACCGTATAGACACACTTATTTGTAGTAACAGAAATGCCGTAATAGGTCTCTTGTTTTCTATTAAAGTTTTTTTTAAACTTAGACTGAAGAATCTTTTTTTTTTCCTACAAACATGTTTATTGGCATTATTAGGATCAGTTGCGTTATCCATAAATAAATGACTTCATTCACAGGATTCACAAAGACTTGAGGCAGACAGTGGATCTGTGTCAGAAGGCTGAATCGGCTGGAGTTTCATGGATCACAGTCCACGGACGGACAACGGACGAACGCCACCAGCCGGTTCATTATGACGCCATAAAGACAATCAAAGACAGCGTGTCTGTTCCTGTCATTGCCAACGGGGACATCAAGAACCTTCGTGATGTGGAGTCCACTCACCAGCTTACTGGTGTCCATGGTATGTTTGCCCTCTTAAATGCCTGTCAGACGAGTAGTTCACATTCAGTGGCTCATTTATTTGTTTTGTTTTGATTTGCCCTGTAGGTGTGATGGCTGCACGAGGATTGCTTGCAAACCCTGCCATGTTTGCCGGATACGAAGATACGCCTATAGAGTGTATTTGGGACTGGGTGGACATTTCCACAGAACTTGGCACTCCGTTCACCTGCTTTCACCACCATCTTATCTACATGCTGGAGAGAGTTAGCTCCCAGCCTGAGAAAAAGGTGTTTAATTCTCTGTCCAGTACCTCAGGCGTTGTAGATTACCTCAAAAGCACATATGGGACGCTTCAGGATCTTGGAACATGATCACATGGAAGTTTCAGGGTTTTTTTTTTTAAGTGCTTTTTTTAATCAAATAAAATTAAAAAGCTGTTTCTATTGACTGTCATTATTGCCTGTTCTCCGCTTTCTGAAATAAATACTTGTCGTTTTGCAGCTTGTAACAAGAATACACGTATAAGTTGAGCATGAGGGTCACTTAAAACACATTAAGGCTTGCAGTTGTATTAAGTAGATAAACATTTGAAACGTTAACATTTGCAACATTTTAAAATATCTCAGTGAAAATGCTTACAGTAAGCTGAGCTTCTTTTAAATGAAAAGACTTGTAAAACTTAATTTTATTGTTGATAAAATTATAAGTACCATAATTTTAGGACACTTGTGAAGACTGTAATATATGTGTATATACAGTATATATATGACTACTGTGTATATATATATGCATATATATATATACACACAGTACTTTTATAGATATATATATATATATATATATATATTTGTGTGTGTGTAGTTATATAATTTTATAT